ATAGTTTCTCACAGTTTTTTTTTCCTATGAAGCTACTGTGAAGTAGGAAACCCTTCTCAAAAAGTAATAAGAAAATGCAATTTTATGCAGATTTCAAAAACCCTTTGGTTCTGAAAAAAAGAAGTGCAATATCAGCACAAAATAATGTTTATATTCAATAACTAAAAAAAGTTGTAAAATGGACCCTTTTATACTTAAAGCTTTATATAAATAGACATCCAGAGTGGAAAGCAGTGCAAATAAATGCAACAGCCGCTCTATCACGTGACGCATACTGCTTCGACTTGTTAAGGTCACTACCTGGGTTGCGCCATGTAGCAAGTTTTGCAAGGTGCTTTTGTGATAATTAATGGATCGGGTTACATTTTCTATTTCCCCCCGATATCCGATCCAGTAATCTTAAATCCGGATCGGACTGATACCGATACCGTATATCAGATTGGTCCATCCCTTGTTTTTTCCACCAAATATTCTCACCCAGAGGCTTTTATTAGGAAGTAACAATATGATTAATAAAAAAACACAACAAAAAATGTGAACTGCGAACAATATAAACACCTTTGTTTGGTAACTGACTTCAATCGTTTAACCAGGTCATCATTGATCACACTGCTCGACAAAAAAATGTTTTGTTTATTACTGGGACATTCAGAGAAGCTCTTAGTCTAGTTTCTTACTCTGACTTCAGATCTGCAATCGTATTCAAACTTATGTCACTGACGTTTCTAGCCAGTCAATCTAGTTATCCTTGGATACTTGGAACATCATAACTAAAAAGAAAATGGGGCATGCTACACTAACATTGTTTTCAGATTTGGAGTTGGCAATTAAAAGTTGTTGAAGGGCAGGTTTAAAAAAAAAAAATCAATAAAACTAAAGCTCCATTCTTTCTCTTTTGGTTGATCCTAGATGCCCACCATCCCTGGCCTCCCCACTCGGCCTTGTTTCTATGACATCGACCTGGACCCCGAGACCGAACAGGTCAATGGACTCTTCTGAGAGAAAAAAAACAGGTCCTCTCACCCTTTGATGGTACGAAACATAGTTAAGACATAAAGCCATGCAGCAGAGTGCATCATCAGCAGATCATAACTGTTTCATTCTTAATGTGTAGACATTAACCCATCAGTCCTCTGAGCGCCAAAGAAATGTGAAGAAGAACCAACTGGAAGCACCTCAAACTCGTCTGCTGTTTTTGTTGTTTCTCATATTAACACTGATGTCTGTAAAGCTGCTGATGATAGATCAGGACAGTCTTTCTCCCTGCTATCAGGCACGTGTTGTTCCGTTATATTGCTGACTGAACATGCACATTTCACATCTCAGATTGCCCAGACTGTATTTACTAACTACTTGTGTATATTTTGTGAGCACCACACCAGAGGCATTTCCTTCAGTTCAGTCTTTAACAAGCTGTGCCCTTCGGATAAAGGTTTTATTACATAAGTAAGTCTTAACAAGAAATGCTGCCCTAAAACAAAATTATAATTTGTTTAATCCCATCTAATTGCATTTATAATGTCTCCTTTCTCTGTCTTTGTTTTAATTAACACTCGGTAACATTTTTTGAAAAGTCGCCATCATTGCTGTGAAGCTCACTGGCCATGTCATTGTAAAAGCAGTGATTTCCTCATATCTGTGAAATAAAGGCTTTTAAAACAAAGCTGCATGTTCATTTTTTTTTTTCCCAGAGTTTAGTTATTTTCTGCCTTAAACACGCAGATCCTGAGGAGCATAGTGTACAGAAGTTGCCAACTTTCTGCAGAGTCAATTGTTACAGACCTCTAAACTTCATGTAGCCTAAAGATTAGCGCAGCAACAGTGTGTAGAGAGCTTCATGGAATGGGTTTCCATGGCCAAGCGGCTGCATTCAAGTACAAAGCAAAGCAGTCATTATCATCATCAGAATTTTATGCTCCCAACTTTGTGGGAACAGTTTGTAAAACCAAAAACAGCAAAGCTATCAGAACCAACCCAAATCATGAGCCCTCCACCACCGTGCTGATATGCTGTATTTGGTTTCTGCCAACAACAAGTTTTCCATTATGACCAAACTTTCTTGTCTTTCTTAAGGACATTATTGCAACACTCCTGTGCCTTGTTAAGGTACATCTTTGCAAAGTGCTGCCATGATTTTTAATTTTTTTTAATAGAATAGACATTCTCCAGGCTACCCTTCCAAATAACCAGTACGTACTGTTATGGCCATATGAGGCCTGCAGATTTGAGATGTCGCTCTTAGGTTCCCTGAGTCTGACGTTGGGCTGAATTTGTTAGTAGATCCACTCCTGGGAACATTGTAGCACTGAGCTAACACACACCTGCATTCTCTAGATCAGCAAACTGCAAAAACGTCTGCCTTTATAGAGTATTATCATAGTTACAGATAATCACTTAATCAGTTCAATTAGCAGCTCTTGGCTACTACTCCCCCTCTTTATTCCTAGGGAAGCAGTAAGGGTGCACTTAACATTTTAAAGGACTGCACAGAACACTGTGAAAACTTTGTATTTCTTCAATATTCCAGTTTAAAGTCATGTAAATGAATTGGAGGTAAAGTCAGTATTCCAGGAGGATATTGGAGGAATTTGTAAGACTGCAGAGGAACATGTTGTAGCTAATAACAGCAAAACCCATGCCAAGTGATAGGTTTGTAGCTTGAACCTACAAACCTATCGTCGCTGGAACGTTGAAGACAATATAATTACACAGCAAAAGCATTGAACACCAAGTAGGCAAAGTTCTTCTTGTTACTCATGCATGAGGGAGACCTGCCTGGAGCCAAGTGTCGTTCCACCACTTGACCTCCGTCAGACTCTCAGCCAGGTTCCCCATAACACTCCTTTTATTGTGCCTACATGAATATGCATAGGGTCATTAACATATGATGTCTACATACACACAAAGAGTACTGTGTGTGTGTGTGTGTGTGTGTGGGGGGGGGGGGGGTCCTGCTGATCAAAGGGTCATATAACATGAAAGCACAAAAGCAAACATCCTTGGTCAGGAAGAGGGTAGTCTCCCCCTCACCCTAGATGGTTCACCCTAGATAACACGGTGAGGAAGTCCAGCAGTTCATCTAAACAAAGAGCACTTAGACTAGAACAGACGTAGCTACGTTAATCCTACCGTAAGACAATAAGACAAGGTACGACCTCTCTCGTACTCCCAGAGTGCTCTCTAATGCACACAAAGCTTGCAGACTATCAAGGATCAAACCTCTACCAATCTGCAACTAATTATAAAACTCTAAGCATACATAAGTAAATATTTCTAAGCATAAATGACAATCAACAATACAAAACCTAACACCAAGAAAGTGTGGTAAGAGACTGCTAAGAGATTAGGAATAAAGAGCAAAAAAACAAGTGAAGATATTAATCAACCCTAGATATAAAAAAACGAGGATCTTAAGAGAATTTATTTGGATGATGTCAGATAATCTCATTCCCCGGAGAACTACTGCCATGCTAAGAATAGCACAATGAGTAAGAAAATGTCAACTATTATACACAAACAATGAAGCATAGTAGAGGGAACTGCGTCATTCAACATGTGACTCATTGCAGTGCTGCAGATAATAACACAGCCATGAATGGGAAGCAAAATTTTATTTCACGCAGGAGACATTGTTGCTAACGATGTCGCTGTTCTGGATAATTGATTCATAGATGTCTCTAATGGAGGTTTTTGAGCACAAATGGTAGACGATAAAAATGGACGAACACAGCTTTGTGCTGTCAACAATTCACAGTGATGTTTCTTGCAGCAACTCTTTGATGCACTTTCCACAAGGATTGACAGGTTTTGCAATACTGTGGAGGTAATCAGGGAACCACACTGTGAGTAAAAGAGCAGCACACAACCGTTGCAATCATTCACTTCCAGAATGCTTAGTAAAATATTGCCTCTTATGATGTTTTTCTTTCTTTTTTAAATTTTACTTTCAGGACACTTTGGGACAGATTAAAATGATCAGTTCTAGCACTTGGGCCACATTTTGTCCATAATTCTTTAAAGCAATGCTAAGACCTAAAAACCAAAACCAAATGGGCTGCTGCAGTAGGTTTGACATGTTGCGCATTCAGAGAGGCTCTTCTGTAAACAGTGCTTCAGTTGAAACGAGTGTCTTCTGATTTGCTGTTGTCTTGAAGCTTGAAGAAGTCATTTTCAACTTTTGATCACTCCTTATTTATTCTGTATTTGGACTATTCTCTGGCACACATTGTGTAACACTCTGTGTCACATTCAAAATCACTTAAATCACATCTTGATCCTCAGCTTAAACGTAAGCACTTCATTGGAGCAAGTTTAAATGCCTCGATGCATATAGTTGCTGCGATGTGAAAAGCAGTTAAACGTGTGTACCTGTGATGTTTGTGTTGTGGAAAAACAAAATGCCTTATTACTGGTTGTTTGTTGAAATATTTCTTGGCCAGGAAACATGAAATTTCACTATTAGATCATGTTAATGACTAAAATATGAAACTTTTAAATCAGATCAGGAACCACTGAAGACACCCATGCAAATTAAAGTGGTACTCTAGTGGCATACATAACCTTATAGAGCACCATTATTTATATTAGACTTACACACATTTTTAGTGCCTGGCTAACCTAAAATGTGTCCACACACGAGAAGATTACCATGAAGATAGAACACGTTCAAGTGCAAATGACTTGATATGATTATTGCCATTTTTAGTTTTTGTTTTTGAGAATGACTAATTGTTATCAAAGCCCATTGATTTATCAGCAAACATTATTGAATTTCAGAAAGGATCCAACAGTTGTAATTGTAATACTTATGTGAATAAACAAGACAGTCTTCTTTCTGTATTAGTTTATTAGAGATATATCTGTCATTTTGCAGTCATCAGATAATGCTGATTCAGTGAATTCTTCATAATTTATTTAGGAACTTGTCCGCCTCCTCTTCCTTGTCCGCCTCCTCTTCCTTGTCCGCCTCCTCTTCCTTGTCCGCCTCCTCTTCCTTGTCCGCCTCCTCTTCCTTGTCCGCCTCCTCTTCCTTGTCCGCCTCCTCTTCCTTGTCCGCCTCCTCTTCCACCTCCATGTCCATGTTCACCTCCTTTTCCATGCTTTTCCCCTTTCCCCTGTAAACAACCGTTAGAAAATTAAGTGATTAAAAACGTATTGTAACTCAGATGGCAGCAAACTTTCAATTCCAAAAGGCTTCTGAAGTTGTACCTTTCCTTTTCCTTCTCCCTGTAAGTGATAAAGACAAATAAACTCATGAATGCTACAATATTACAGAATCAACAGAGCAAAACAACAGAAAGCACATGTGAAACTTTTCTTACTCCTGATCCTTCTCCCTCTGATCCTGATCCTGATCCTTCCTTCTCATGAGGACATTTCTCTTCCTTCTTCTGACAGGAGAAAATTGCTTTATAAGTACATGTTTATAATGCTGTTTGTCCCAGGTGTAGAACAATCAAATGAAATAAAAGTACTTACTTCAGCTGCAGCTATAGTTGGAAACAAAAAACAAAGTAAAAAAAAAAAAATTAGATAAAGAGAAACCAAGCTTGATATGTGACTTTGCAAAAGAACAGGATAGATGACTGCGATCATAAGGCCACAACCAAAATTGAAAGCAGCTTTCAATAACAGAATTTAACAGAAAGGCAACTGCACAAATGGCACAAACAACACATGATATTTTCAGCTTAATCAGAGACTCACGGTCACTCATTTTGTCTTTTTAACAAGCGTTGTAGAAATTCTTTTTCTAAAAGAAATACAAAAGTTGAGAAAAATGAAACACTCTTAAACGTTCTGTGTAATCATTACAAGGAGTCAACAGTAAATGCAATAAGTGCTGCGTACCTGATAAAGAAGGCAAAAACGTTTGTGTCTGTTGTCTGCTTTGATGCCTGTATTTAAAGGGAGAAGCATGAAGGATGAGGGTGTGTTTATGAGGCACCCACACCTGCTACTAATAGATGCAGGACAGGTAAAAAGGTAACTGGCAGTTCCACCTTAAAACATGCCTTACATGCTTGAGGGCAGGGCTGTAACGGCATGGTTGTATGAAAGGAAACTGGTCGAACGTCAGCATTATGGGACAGCCTTTGTTCTGCTGCGAAGTGCTAAAGACTCTCCATTCACAACAATTTTCAACAATTTTCTGCAATGTGTGCTGCAGAGAAAACACAATTATATATCTGTTTAAACCAAATGAGAAGAATCTGGGGAAGCTTTAATGCCACTGACTGCTATTACAAAGACGATTAAAACAATAATTATAATATTTGAATGTGTGACTCTTAAAGTGCACTCTGCAAGTAGCAGTAATTCTACAGGGTGGGCCATTTCTATGGATACAGCGTAATAACATGGGAATGGTTGGTGATATTAAAGTCCTGTTTGTGGCACATTAGTATATGTGAGGGGGCAAACTCCTCAAGATGGGTGGTGACCATGGTGGCCATTTAGCAGTCGGCCATCTTGGATACAACTTTTGTTTTTTCAATAGGAAGAGGGCCATGTGACACATCAAACTTATTGGTAATGTCACAAGAAAAACAATGGTGTGCTTGGTTTCAACGTAAAGACAAAACACAAATGTGTGATGCTAATTATGAGGTATTAGACTTAAAGATAAAAATAAATCCCAACAACTCCTAGCCTGAGATCTATGTCCCCACCCTCACCTATGAGGTGTTCTGGGCATGTCCACCCTGGAGGAAACCCCGGAGCACACCAGTACATGCTGGAGAGATATCTCTCAGCATGCCTGGGAAGGGCTTGAATGGATTGGGAGGACTGGGCTTCTCTGCTTAGGCTACTGCCTAATGGATGGATTCATGGTGTATGGATGTTTTTTTCTTTCTATTTTTGCAGCTTAAGCTTGGCTGGCTTGTTTCACTTGCATCGAGAGCTCCTTCAACCGCATCCAAATAAAAGCAACAACACCTAATATAAATTCGAGGCATTTTATCTGCTTAATTAATAATTACATGCAGTAATCAAAGAATTGCCCAACCTGCCAGTGAAACAGCCCTTGAGTAAATTGTTTGATTGGGTCCTTTAAAAAGAGGGTGGCACATGTTATGGAGCTGACAACTTAAATCAAAGTTGAGAGTCTACACATTATGTGTATGTCCATTTTGTAACTATAATTGGAATATGTTTCAATAATGAGGTACTTGTGTCAGTGTCCAAATTACTATGGACCACACTGTATATTGGCACTATAATTCTTCTCTTTTTATGCATATTTAGGGTCTGCAGAGGTAAGTGGAGCTCTGAGAGAACAGAGATATCCGCATCTCTCAGCTTTTATGTCCTGTCATACCAGTTTTTTAGCTTCCACTGTCAGTTAAGACCATAATAATAAGACAACAATCCTGTTTTTGTCTGACAAACATGTCAAACCACTCATGGGCTTGACATGGCAAGGGCAATTTTGTTCTCTCATGAAGAACACAACACAGGGTGTGCTGACTGATTTCATCCTGCCAATCAAACTCAGACATAAAAACAGTGTGAGTGCAAACTTGGCATGATACACTCACATTCAAGCCGTTCCTCTCTGCATTCATGTCTTAAAGACGTTAGGGTGTGGCGGCGTCTTCATTAATCCCATGCGGACGTACACCTATCTGGAACAACCCTGACATTAGGGATGGGTATCGTTTAGGTTTTATCCGATACCGGTGCCAAATCGGTACTTTTGAAACGGTGCCGGTGCTTAAACGGTGCTCGAACCGGTGCTTAAAGAATGGAGAACACAAACTTTGTACAAAAACCTCTCATGTTCAGCTGGTTTTTTTTGTAAAAAGATAACAATGTTAGCCTTTTCTGCAGCTATGTGGCATATATGGTATCACTCTTGGCTGGAAGCAGTGCTTAAACAATGGAAAAAACACAAACTTTGTCCTAAACCTCTCATGTTTAACTGTTTCCCACTTTTTCTTTGGTCATTTTAGCCTTTTTAGCCAGGGTGAAGGGAGTATCTGCCATCAAACAAGAAGACAGCCGCATGTAGCTATGATGATGTTTGCTAGTTCACCTTACATGCATTAATGTAATAACGTGGTTAGCCTACTCAACGTAAATTACACACGAACAACATTAAGCTACTCACGCAGAGAAGAACGGCTGCTGCTGCATCATCATCATTCCTGCTACACTGGCAGGGCTAGGGGCCAGGACTCTCCTCTTCGTGTTTTTGGGGGATGTTGCTCCGGGTCCGATAACTGGCAACCCACCCGACGTGCTCGGTGTGAGGTCTCGCAGCAAGCTATCAAATACCGCGCATTTCTCGGCTTTTAACAAAACGCTATGTGTCGCCAGCTGTTTAATCGGATTCTTGGTGTTACCTCCTTTGACAGTATCACAGTATCAGCTTAAAGCACTTGTTGCTGCTGAGTTTGCATATTTTGCTGTGAAGTACAGCCAGACTTTTGACCGCTTCGCCTTGGGCATTTTTAATCTGTAGCTCTGCTTTAACAGAACGTACGTACCTGGCCCCGCCTACTATCCTCGGAAACGTAAAATGATTGGCTAGAAGTGTATCACAGCTCAGGAAAAAAAAGCACCGAAATAAAGCACCGAAATGTGCGCTGCTTTTCGGTCTGGTTACTACCGTTTATGTCAGAACCGGTGCCATCATGGCACCGGACACCGGTACCCATCCCTACCTGACATATTACAAAACAATAATATGATAAACTTTTCAGATTGGAGTGGTAAAGGAATCAAATATTTAGAACATATACTAGAAGGAACAGAATTTATTTCATTTGACGGACTAGTTACACAATATGGGATCAACAAGAAAAGATTTTTAGAATATCAACAAATTAAATCCATAGTAAAAAAGAAATTTAAACCGGGTCAAGTTGAACTACAAACACCATCAAGTGTGGTTCAATTTCTTACTCTTAAAACCCCCCAAATTACTATCCAAAATATACAGAATGCTTTCTAAAACAGATGAATCAATATCACTTCCTATTGCAAAATGGGAAGCGGATTTATCAGTTAACTTAGACCTAAACTTCTGGTCTCAGATTTGCTTAAAAACCTTTCATCTAATTAGAAATCCCAGTCTTCAATTAATTCAATACAAAATACTACATAGAGTGCACTATACAGGTCATCGGATGTTCAAGATGGGCTTTACGTCTACCAACAACTGCTCACACTGCCAAACCAATTCACCGGACAATTATATCCACGCTCTTTGGTTCTGTCCACCAGTTCAGAAGTTTTGGCGCGAGATATCTGAAGACTTATCGAAGTGTCTGAAATGTAACATTCCAACTTCCCCCTTAGTGTGTTTGTTGGGCAGCTTAGATAATGTCACTTCAGAAAAGAATATCGCCCATATGGTTTTCACTGCCCTATGCATAGCCAAGAAAACAGTCCTCATGAACTGGAAAAATAAAAATAATCTTAATTCTAACCAATATAGAAATTATCTATTAGATTACATTAGTCTTGATACAGCCTCTGCCACCACATCAGATCAATTGCTCTGGGCTCCTTTGATCAGCTCCATCACCTAGTGGGGGTGGGGGGTCATAGTTTGGTTCCGCCTTCACTGTTGTGATTGGTGAGGGGGTAGGGACAGGCTTAGGGCGTTGGGGGGTTCCCCGGAGGCATCTTCCTTGGGGGGCTCAACCCGGGGTAGCGGTCATGTCCGGTTGGGGGCTCTTTTGGCTCTCGGGTGACTGTTTCCTCGTAGCTGCGTGCAGCGGGGCTAGGGAGGGTCTGTGCTGACGGACGTGGGTTACTGACCTGGTAGCCTGGCTGCCCCTGGGTGGGTCCGGGATGGGCGTGAGGTTCTGGGGGCGCTCCGTCTCTGGGCTGGGGCCCTGGCCGGGCCTCGGGGCCTGGTTGGTGTGTTGCCGGGGTTGTGGGCGGGTGGGTGTATGTATGGGGGCCCAGCCCTGGAGCAGGGTGCCGCCAGTGCATCGAGCCACCTGGGGGGCTCTTCAACTGGTGGGGGAGATTGTCACATCTTGCAGGAGCTTTCCTCTCCTCAGGGGCTCTCTCTGCAGGAGGGGGAGATACAGGAGAGGTGGAGGAAGATCTCAGCCTGGGTGTTTATTGTCTCATGTAGTCTGGAAGATGAGTGGATGGGGGGGTGGGTGCAGTTTTCTCTGTGGTGGGGTTGGGTGGACTGTCCCAGGCTCTGTGGGGCCGGGGGGCGCTGCTGCACTGGGCCCCGGTCTGGATGGGCCTGGGCCCCTTTCCCTGGCGGGTCGCGGAGTATGGGGGTGCCTACTCGGGTCAGCGGGGGAGCTGGCCCCAGGGAGGGGTCACTTGCCCCTCCCTTCCTTCCCTCCCCATCTCCAGCTGCCTCCCTCTTCCTGCTCCACCACAACCACCCACACATGCAGGGCCTTGGAGTAGGGGTATGTCACCAGGGTGCAGGGGAAGCCCCCCCCCCTCTGTCCCCTTCTGGCTGCCTCTGCCTCAATTTTATCCCACAACTTAGACATTCACATTACTCACACTCTCATTACACATACATATAGGATCTTGGGGGTGGGCACGATACACGGAGTCCAAAGTACCATCAGGGTGTACACCCCACCCCTGGCGTCGTTGCCCACCTCTCAATGTTAAATACACGTACACATTGAGGGCTAGCAGGAGGGACCATGCGTTTACCTGCTGCTCTCTGGCAGGTAGCTCCATGCCCTCCTGGGTTTTAAATGCACCTTAGAACACACATGCATCAACACTACAATGAGCGGGTGGAGGGAGGTTTGGAGTCTTCTCTCACCCCCATTTTCTGCGGCTGGTCTGGAAAATGGGGCCTCCCTGCTGCTGCCGAGTCGGGGCGGTCTGCCTCTCCCCAACCCAGGGAAAAGGGTAACACCACCTGGGTCTGGGTGCAGTCCCCCCCCCCCCCCCCCCCCCAGCAGTCCCCCAGCAGGGGGACTGGGTGTTCAAAGTTAAATTGGGCACATAGAACCAGGCTG